TCTAATATGTGTTTGGAGAAGGTTTATAACTTGTTTGAGTTGCATTTTGGGTGCTCGACAAAAAAAAAAAGAAAAAAAAAATGATGAAGTAAAAAATAAAAAAGGTGGGAACTCGCAAAACGAACGAAAAGGATTCTACTCCGCTTAAAAGGGAAAGGATGTCATCCTTACGTCTCGATCTTGTTAAGGAAAAGCAAAACCCTTATTAAAAAAACAGTCGAGTACTTAATTTGCATTTCGGCTTGAGCATGTGTGTGTAATGTATGGAGTTTTTGGTCGGGATGATTAGTTTCAGGTTGATTACGAATAGAAGGTGGGATATTCGAGTATTTATGTGCTCGAGAGTGTGATTGTTTATCTGGGCCACTTTATCTTCTTATTTGTCCTTCCTTTGATACCTACAATACAGCCCGTGAAGTCCTCTTGATTTGCAAATTCATGATCTTTTATTGTTTTAGAGTATGAATAGACAATAGGCAAGCTTATGTTGAAACACGATCACCGACCAATTTGAGTATAGCCAGTTCTATTCATGTAAGAAACTGAGTGAGACATATATGTATTATACTTTCGTGTTTGAGAGTTTGTCTTTTCAAAGCGTAGCATTCGAGTTGTAATTGAGCTGTGCTATATTGGTCATTAGAAGTCTCCTCGGCTAAGTTGATTAATTTGAGACTTGTCTTATTTGAAACTGTTATCCATGCTCGTTTGCTTGTTTTTCTTTTCTTTTTGTGTCTTTTTGTTCGGGACGAACAAAGGTTTTAGTGTGGGGCAGTTGTTTGTCCAATTTTTGTTGCGTTTTTCTTTGTTATTTTTTATTTTTCCCCCCGTTTTAGGTCTTTTCGTTGGTTTTTATTCGTCTTTAAGTTTTTTGGGCGTCTCGTTCTTTTAGTTTTTCTTGTGTTTTTCGATTGTTTTTCGGTTTTCTGCGTTTTTTTTTCGTCTTTAATGTGTGCAGGTTGAGTACCTTGATCGATTTTGATGTGGGGGAGGAAATTGTTTTGGCAAGTATAATATGGTAGAAGAATGTGTTGGAGACGAGCAGGAAAAATTAAAACTTGGTTATGAAGTCGGATGAGTTCAAACGGGCCCGAGACGCGAAGTCAAGCGTGCTGCCTAGACCTCCACGCCCGAGAGCCCCGCCGTGACACCCGTCACGCGTGTACAGAGAAGCGCCCAAGTCGCCACCACGCCGCTGCAAGGTCCCGCGCCTCGTTATCCCCTTCCACCGCGCCGCGCCAGCCGTCGCACAGCGAAGACGCTGCCACACCGTGAACCAGCTCGTGGCGTCCTTCACGCGTCGACAGAAAGGCAACCAACCCAGACCTCCGCGCCATGTCACAGCATCGCGCCGCGGCAGTAAGTTCTCACCACGCCGCGGCATATCACGCGAGCACCCGTCACGCCTAGACAGACTCCCAGCCAGCCACCCACCACGCCGCGCAGTATCATCACGCCATGATATAGCTTCTCCATGCCGTGACTGAGCCTACCAATATATATATATATATATATATATGATCGGGATTGCAAAAAACATCATCTCTCATTCACGAATAAAAAACCCTACCCTCTCATCTCTTCTTCCATTCTTTTCATTTTTCTTTTCATCTTTTCATCTAAAAACACAATTTGATCGTGGATTTCATCGGGATTTCTTCATTGTTCTTGGATTTAAGATTATTTTTCAAATTCGACTTTGGGATTTTATCAATCATAAGTTTATCTTTTCTCTTAATTGATGAATATGAATTCTTTGATTGAAATTATTCTCTGTGTTGAACTGATTATGAGTAGCTAAATCCTTATGCTAGGGATAGAGGATTAATGTTTTGGATTCATTTGTGATTGTTGGGATTTTTTGATCGTTCTATTTGTACGAGTTGTTCTTCAAAAGGGTTTTTCAAATATTAGGCTTGAATATTGAGAATTGTTGAAGGGTGACACTTCAATTTCCAATTTACGATTGAATTCTATTTATTCTCACATTATGTTGGCAATTCTTATTGATTAGTCGGTTAACAATCCTCTAATCTAATTTAATCGACTCTTAGAACCGAAAGGGGAGGAGTCGGTCGAAATTAGCTCGTATAAGCTAGGCTTGTTCGTAACTGTATTGCCTAGGTATTAGATGACTTATTAATTTGTCGTTCAAGTTTGTTCTCTTGTTACGAAGAGTTATTGAGGACGAGTACTTGAACGAGCAGGTTATTTAAATTACTTAACCAAACGATCATTTGCTCAATAGTCGCAATTCGAACCAAAACGGATATCCCCGACTCCCTAGCTTTGTTAAACCTTGCTTGTTCTACGTGTTACTTTTCTATTTTAATTTACTTAATTTAAATCTTAGTAGTTCATAATCAAAAATCAAACCAAAATCTGAATTAGGATGTTTAGGAATTTTATCTCTTTTATTGGTGTTTGAATAAACGTGCATAATTATCCGGCTAACCTTTCTTGAAAGACACGACCCGGTGTTCGAATCTTTTGAGTCTACTCCGGAAAATATTTACAACAATGGGGCGCTGGGCGATGATAGGCAGTGATGGGAGTCGGGGTGGTAATGGGTTGCTGAGGTGGTGACGAGTTGTGCTGAGATTGTGTCCGGGGGTGACGGCCTAGCCTGAGGCGGTGATGTGTCGTGCCGAACAGCGTCGAGGTGGTGACGGCTTGTGTTTTTTTTCTGAAGTTACGTTTATTTTTATTTTTTTTTTCAAACGGCAAATACTGTAAATTTAAACTCAAAAGGAGTACAATTGGTAACCAACTGGTTACATGGAACATCCTAATTGTCAAGTGACAGAAAGAAACGAACCACGGGAGAGTCTTTTTACCATAAGAGTTCCCCCTCAAGAGGGATGATCCCTAACACAAACTCCCAATCAAGTAGGACAAAAACTCCATTAAGGAGACTAATATACTCCATAGAGGAGACAAAAGAACTCCATCAATAGATTAACAGCCAAACATATAGTAAAATAAAAAACAAACAGCAGATTAAAAAAATAACCTAATTAACTTTAACTAAACTAAAGTCCTCCCCGACAACCCACAAGATCGACTCAGTACACTAAGAAGCATCGGCCTTCACGACAACCAAACGAAGAGAAAATAGATCGCCAAGGCAAGAAAGTCAAATCTGGGCACTCCAAACTTCACACTCCAAGTGGCTATGGCTACTCATATCTGAAGCCATCAAGCCGGATCCACTCTTCAAACTCAGCAACCAAACAGCAGATGAAGACTGGACGAGAGGTCCGCCAACACTATCCCCTCAATTGTGGCACCCGACCACTGACCATTGGAAGAAAGATTGGATCCAACTCTACAGCAGTAGGCTCCAAAAGGGCCAATCAAAAACCGCAGGCACGAAGTTGGCGACGATTCCAACACCTACGCCCGCAACTCTACGACCGGAGCAGTTAACTGAAACGACGACAACCCACACCCTCCAACTCGCCGATGAGAAACTTAACCACAACCGAAAGGCTCAAGTGACAGCACCGGCGTGGTCCAAAGGCAACCATGCAGTAGGAAATACTCGCAGCAAAGAAAGAGAAGGGTGGCTCCAGTGCCGGCACTCCTTGGGCGGAGCTGGGCAGGAAGAAGCAGAGAGGCAATCGGAGGATTTTTCTTTAGATATGGTTTATTTCTTAAAGAGAGAGGAACAACTCTTATTCCAAAAGCGACAAATGTGGTGAACTGAGATATATATGGATCAATTTACAATCAGTTTTTTCTGAAGTTAAGTTGTGTTTGAGAATTAGAGTATGTTCTTACCAAGTTGTGGGGTTAGTCGCGAGCACAATCTTATAGCTCATACTATAGCTAAATGGGCTATTCGATCGAAGGGATCCTTCTTGTGGAAGGATTGTCTCCTATCTTTTTTTTATCTTCTTTCTTTCGAACTACATTGTGTATTGCAAGTAATTTATTCAAAAAAAAAAAAAAAAAAAGTTGTGGGATTATTTCTGTAACCATAGTTTAGTTGGTTGGTTATACGAATATTTTTTATTAGACAATCAAATGATATACTTAACTTTATCTAGGACACATCAGTTTATTAGAAGGTGATGGTACTTAGGCTATGTTTGGTAGACAAATAAGCTAGTTTATAGCTTATTTGGTTAGCTTATAAGCTCCCTGTATTTAAATAAGCCTCGTTTGGTAGGACGAGTTTTTTTAAAAAGCTCGAGCTCTCGAGCTTATTTGATAAGCTTCTTTAGGTAGTTTTTCAAATAAGCTAGTTAAAATTTTTATTCCAGCTAGCTTATCAGCTAATTTTACCAAACATTTTTATCATATAAGCTAGATTTTCAGATATAAGTCATACGCTATAAGGTGTAAACTAAAAAATTACTAATAAGCTATCAGCTAGTTTTACCAAACATAACCTTAGAGCATCTCCAATGGCATATTGTCTATTTTGTGTTGCATGGCATAGAGAAAGGAGATTATTAAATTATGTCTCCAATAATTAGTGTTAACGATTATTTAATTTGACATGTGTAAAATTATAATTGAAATTGAGAATAAAGAGAAATTGAATAAATAATATGATATGGGAGATGCTATAAGTACATAATAGTGTACATAGAGGTGTACATAACATTCACATTAAGTGGGTCCTACCAAAAATTAAAAAAAAAAATCAATTGGACTCACTCCATGTGAGTGTTATGTACACATCTATGTACATTTGTTATGCACTTGTAGCAGTTTTGATAAGAGGAGAAATGCATTGTCTAGAAGTATTCTACATCTAGAAAGACTTCTAGATTTTTTTTTATGCCACATAGATTTTTTTGTGCCATGTGGCAACAGAATAAAACAATTCAAATACCATTGGAGATGCTTTTAACATCGAATTAGCCGTCATTTAGTAAGTACAAAGTTGAAGTCATCCGATTACCCCTTTGGAAGTGAAAACAAGTGTTATTCCCAATTAAACTGTTCATTTTCGTTAAAATCAATCATCACTATATTGATCTGGTTCTCTTAAGGAATGTGGATAAAACCAATAGTTCTCAAAATTGGTAACTTTGCAACGGACATAACTAACTCGCTACAAGACATCTAACACCGTGTGAACAGGTAACTACTCTTATACACCCAGACCGGGATACAGCCTTTATAGTCTCCAGTTGACAAATATGATCAGATTTACACTCATCATTCATTTGAAACTACATAACTATAAGTACTCTCACTTTGATGTATAAACTGAAAAACACACATTCTCAATGGAAAGCTCCAAAAGGTTCCAACAAGAAAATTTGTGCAACAAAAGCATGGAGCTTGTTACAGTAGAATAAAAATGAGAAGCTTTAGAATGAAAATATCCACAAAACGTGCAATACTTACCAACGCGCATCGTTGTATTTGTCATTACATTCCCCTTTAAGAAAATATAAATCCCAAATAAATATAGAAAAGCATGCTTAACGTTGAAATGAAACGGAATATGAACCAGTATTTGGATCTTTGACGGCTTTGAAGTTGTCAACGCTCATTCCAAAACGGCCCAGAATGGAATTCCCCATTTCTTTCAATTTGCCTACAATCACACAGTAAACTCACTTTGCTTGAGGATCTCTAAAAAGGCAAAACATTGCAGTTACAAAGTAAATCTGGAGTGCATATAAATCCAACAACCAAGTGATGATATAACATTAAATGTTGCAAATATATACAACGACAATCATATTACCCACTTCTATGCAAAGTTAACAATTGCCTGTAGCAACGAAAAAAAAAATATGGATAATGAGAGGCTTGATTAGAGATGAGATGAAAATACATGGAAATAGTAAAGTGAAAATTGATAGTGAATGAAGACTGGATAACATAATGAGAAGTGTAATTCATGAAAAAAATTCTAGAGAATACATCTCTATATGCAAGCAGTTGAGAGTACATGTCCGCTTCTAATTGCACTAATTTAAGGAGTCGTATAAATCAAGTGCCAAGTATTCAAGCAAAGCTCAATGAAACTGTCAGGAACATATAGTACATGCAGCGATAAGGAAAACCTTTAGCTCACCAATCATCTCTTCTTTCATTTTCTCTCTCTTTTCATCAGCTAATGGCTTCAAACGAATGATACTTCTCCTTGCTTGGTCATTTGAGGGATCCAATTCTAAGATCTTAGTCATGTCTGCAAGTAAAGAAACACAAAAATCAGAAACAAGAAAAAACCCAAATCAGCAACAAGGAAGAATCCGCCTTGTGAACTACAGAGACACCATATGCTGATAAAAACAAAAATCCGAATTCAAGCACGCACCCATCCCCTGGAAAATAATATCAGTCACATAAGTTTGGTGCTAAAGAAAACGTAAATTATGGCTTGACAGCCAAAATTCAATTACAAATCTTGCTAGAAACAACTATTGTAGATTATTTCTTGCTTCTATGAAGTAACTCTGGATGTGGAAATACCAGCAATTGACTCCTCGTACTGCTCAAGCTTTTCGCGAGCCTCTCCTCTTCTTAATAGAGCCTTCATGTATGTTGGATTCAGCTCCAAAGCCTTGGTACACTCTTTGACCGTCTCCTCATGTTTCCCCTGAACACAGAAGTAGATGGATAATAACTTTAGTTAGAATATTCAGGACTGAAATCAGAATCAGTTGGAAATTACAGAAAAAAATGTAGAGCACATACAAGAAGATACTCTATATGACATAATTGGTATCAGATCTCAGCACTTTCTAACCACCCCCACCCCCCCGGCTAGCAGTGTTTCAATGGTGTCACACAATTCCATATTACTTGTGAATTTTAGTTCTACAAATATCATCTTAGGGCTGTTTGTTTTGTCTGATGAACACAAGATCGTCTTCAGATGATTGATGATGGTAACACAGATAATTTTAGTAAAGAGTGTTTCTTTCTTCCCTTCCGCCATCTAAAGCCTGCAGTTGAAATCATGATGGTGAATGCACAAATGAAGCTAGATTCCTGTCTACTTATAAGTTGTCGTTATAGTGTTCAAAGAAACAGTTGCCCTGGAAAATAAATTTCCCTAATGATTCGTGGAAGTATAGTGTTTTCTGTTCCCCTTCGCCAAATGACATGGACATAATGAAGCAAGTTTTTGGAAACTATTGCCGACATAAGTGGATAAAACAGACAATTCCTTATAGGTATACTACTTTAACCTTATGGTTAGCATACTACCCACCCCCACCCCCTGCTGACAAAGAAGCCACTAAATTTGAGCGGCCTCATCAGTCATAAATGGTGGACTGGGTTATACTACTCAGTATACGTGGCCAATCTGGAAAAGTAACATAGTCAAATGACATCAAAATTTGATCCAACATTTAAGGCAATAAAATGTTCAATGCATAACAATGCCAGGTGACATGAATGCTTTCACATATCTCAGCAAACTCTGACAGCAACTTCCTCTGTCACTTTACAAAGAACTAATGTGTGAGATGCTCTTCACGAAGCACAACAAGAAAATGCATAAAATGGAAACCTTAGGTGATGGGAACTCAATCAATGTGTGGGAGTCCTCTTGGATCCCTAATGTCCCAAATTTCAAACCTAGGTGTCAGTTTGAGGATGATAGAAGGAGAATCACTTGGGTGAGGGATTTGTTGTTGCAAGAAAGTAAGGTTGTGGGATTCTGATTTAATTCTGCAAACTTTTGACCCATATGTTGCTGAACAAATCATGCAGATACCTTTGAGTAACTTTACTCTAAAGGATATACTAGTCTGGAATGCTCACAAGCTCACAAGAAAGGAACTTTAACTATAAAATCCTTGTATGAGCTCCTGATTTCCAAACACTTGAGGCAAAGACAGGATGTAGAACCAAGCAGGAAAACAACATGAAGCTAAGATGTGGAAGAGGACTTGCAAACTACCACTCAATAACAAGATCAAGAAATTTGTGTGGAAAAGCTGGCAAGGCTTCCTGGGAACCAACCAGAAACTGAAGAAAAGAGGCATGTAAGTGAATATCATGTGCAAAAACTGTGGAGAGGAGCCAGAGGACCAAGACCATATATTCTTCAACTGCAAAATGGCTAAGTTGTGTTGGAAACTCCTGGGGATATCTTGGAATAGGATTCAGGTACAAACTCATTCCTACAGATATTGGTGGCTAGAAATTGCTTGTGCTCAAAATACCAAAACCATCAAAGATAGGATAAGTTTATCAACTTACCTTCTCTGGTGGTTTGGAAAACAAGGAATGAGTGGCTGTTTGAAAATAGTTGGATTTCAGAGGTTCAGTTGGTAGACAAGGTAATGGTGGAATGGAAGGAGTTCAATGCTATAGTGATAGATGAGTTTTAGGATCTCCAGCAGAAAATTAGAAGACCTAACAAACTGAATCGGAAATTTTACTCGTACGGCAGAATTTTTTTTTTATTTTTTTTTTGTCAGTGCTCCAATCCCAGACAGTAGTTTGCAGGTGACCAAGGTTTTAGCTAAGAAAGATGGATCTCTGATCAAAGAATGGTGCCAAACCGCCAGGTTCTATAGCACTGCTCTTGCTTTGCAACTGAAATGGCTAACATTAGATGGCTGCTGGATGAGGCAAGAAAAGAAGGCTGGAAGGAGATAGTGTGCTGGATTAGAAACAAGACTTTAGCAGATTCTTTGAACCAGAGATTGATGTTTGATTTAGAGCTGAATGTATTTACCTTGGACATCTTTTTTCTTGCTAGTTTCTTCTCCTCTTGTGTGTTTGTAGTAGTTTCTGATTCTTAGTCTGGTGTTTGTTTGTTAGTAGGTGTTGTTTATGAGCAGGGGCGTTGTTTGTTTACCCTTGGTGCTCGTTTTACCAGTTTAATAGATGGTTTTATCGTGTGAAAAAAAAAAAAAAAGTATATTCATGATAAATGTTCTAATGTTGAATCAGTTGAGAAACGTACAAGTTTAGAGAAACAAGCAGCTCTGTTTGCATGACATATAGATCGTATTTCACTAGATGACGGACCATCTGGTGCGACTTGTAGAGCTATTTCATACTTGGACAATGCCTCTTCATACTCCCCAGCGTTAAACAATGAATTCCCCTCAAGTTTTGCATCATTGGCTTTGGCTAACCCTTTCTACTTCAAGTAAAGAAATGAAAAGTTAGTCAACACAGGCGAAGGAATTGCAGAGCTTGGCTCAAAGAAATAAAAGAAAAATGGAACCCTGATGAAAAATCAATCAGAAATAACACCAATTATATTTTAAATCAATGCCAGGGCTGCTTGCCTAACTGTTACCCAGTCATAAAAGTCATACTAAAACAGCAAAACAGACCATCCAGAGACAGTACATTGGTAACATATATTTCTAATACGATCCCACATGGTTCACTTGAATCAATCGAAACAAATTAAAGCCGCAATTACAGTTCACATGTCTCCTCTTTCTTTGTTGAATCCAAGTTAACTCGCAGCAACAACATTTGAAGGGAAAAGGAACGAAAAGCTAGCCATTACCTCATTCGTTTCAGTCACGGTGGTTTCAGTCTTCCCTTCTCCTTCGTGGACTTCACGACTGACCTCATCGTCTCCATTTTTACCACTGCTTAAATCATTACGATTGCCCGGGCCATCGTCTTTATCGGAAATAGAGTCATTTAGCTCGGAATCACTGGCAGTCTCATATCCATCGGAACAGTGCCCCGACGGCGCAGCCGCCTCCGGGATTGGCCGTGATCTGGAGCCGCTTTCACCGGCGGATTCTTCCTCTATCACCGCCATGTCTTATCGGAGAAAAGTAGGTAATAATTTTGAGAATATATTAGTTTTATGGCAATTCTAGAAAATAGAAAAACAAAGTCATCCTTAGGTTTTCGTGACCGAAGAGTAATGCTCCAAACATTTTTTGTTAATTAGTATTAGCACCGACGATCACAAATTCACTAATCAAATTCTCTAAGTTAGGGGGTGTCAAGTGTCTTTCGACTCTTTGTTTATGAATTTAACTAGCTTTTAATTGATTTTTTTAATCATTGTTAATTTTAAAAAAAGGAAATGTAGTTAATTGTTAGTTGATATATTAAAATAATATTTAAAATAAAATAATTAAAAGTTGTTATGATGTAAAAGTAGGAGAAAAATAATTGAAAGTGATAGTTAGTTAAAATTATGTGAGGGGTTGAATAGTGACTTAAAGTTGATGTGATGTGTAACAATGATTGGTTGAATGATTAGTTGATATTATTTAATTACTAGTGTGTACCCCGTGCGATGCACGAGAACAATATTAAATTAACAATATTATAAATAGATCTTGAGTTTGAGTCACTGACGGAAGTGGAAACTACTATTGATCCTATTTAAAAAGAGAAAGAGAAAAAAATAATTATAAAGTAAAGAGGAGGATAAACAATACTTAATAATTATAAATTAAAGATTCGGGGTCAAACAATGTAAAACTATTTGGTATAAGAAAATATGAAATTTACATTATTTTGTATAAGAGAATATAAGATTTGCATGTTTAATATTAAAAACACCTAAAATATTATATTAGTATATATGTAAAAGTATTCAAAATTTTTTATATTATTTTTAAAAGATGTGAAGTCATCGACAACTTTTCTAAACAATTTTAGAAGGAAAACATATCTAAGAGCATTTGAATTTAACATTGTGTAAAAAAAAATTTCTATACTATTTTGTAAAGAAAATATGTCTATATTTAAATTTAATATGTGTATATGCATATATATATATATATATGCATATGTTCTGTATAGTTTTTTAGAGATAATAATTCAACACGTGTATTTGTTTTAGGAAATGAATAACAAACTTAATATCAGTTTTGAATAATGATAAGGTGTATGAAATATCTTCTCCTTATAATAAGATTTTGTTTTTTAATCTTAAAATTATCCAGATATCTTCTCTTTATAATTTGATTTTTTTTCTTCAATTTATCATTAAAAAAATATGTTTAAAAGGGTTACCATAAAAAAATATGTGATAAGGATGCTTGTGTGAAATGGGATTATTTCATTACCATAAAAAATTATGCCATAAGGATGCTATTAATGAGGCGTGCGCTGGCGTGTGAATTGGTATTATTTCATGAGAATTAAATCCGTATAATTAATGAGTTTAAAAGGCATGTGAAAAGGACATAAATGCTGAGCGTGTGAAATGGACATAAGAGTTACCGATTTTGGAAAGTAATAAATGCAAAACTGACTTTGACCATTAATTAAGTTACTAATTTTGATAAATGTTAATTCTTATTATATAAGTATAGATATTGATAATAATGGTGATAATGTGAATGAATTAAAGTTGAGTTAAATTGGAGTTTTGATTGATTTTTTTTAATTGGATTGATAAACAATCACCTCCTTAATAGTTCGTCAGATTCATTATTAAATTCGCTGGATTTTTATTTTATTTATGAGTAAATAATTTTTCAAAGTATCACGATTTTTACGCTTTACCATATGGTACGGTAAAAATCTCTGACCGGCTAGAAACGACTAGGAGCTTGTTTGGAAACACTTTTCAAATAGACTATTAGATACAAAAGTTCATTTGGATAAATATTTATGTTTGGTGCTAAATTAAGAATAGACTTATGAATAAGTTGTTTCTCCAAAAAGTCCATTCTGTAAAAGTAAATGATGGAGACTTTTGGAGAAGTCCATTTTGGATAAGTCCATTGTAATGCCCCATTTATTTGTGGTTTATTTGAAGTATTGTTATTATTATTATTATTATTATTATTATTATTATTATTATTATTATTATTATTATTATTATTATTATTATTATTATCATTGATGTTTATTATTATTGTGATGTTATTAATATTAATATTGAGTGCCAAAATATTTATTAATTGTAATTATTAAATGTGTATTAATAGATATATGTAAAATAAATTTATTGTTCGATTTATTTTATCGTGCGTTTGAATTGATACCAAACTCGAGAGTCGGATTATTTTGGCGAAACCCGCGTCAAATCAGCCCGGTAGAACCGAATCCACGCACCGGCCCAACCGAACCGGCCCACGAGCCAAACCCGCACTCAAGCTCAAGACCCAGTTTCTCAAATTCGCGTGATGTGTGTGCGTGTGGGATTTTCCTTGAATCAAGAAAAGTCAAAACCTAGACTATTGTGTATATATACACATTCTGTGTCTATTTCTTTTGTTCCGTCTGAATTTTTCATCGCGCAGCTCTTTCCAGATTTCCTCTCGCTCAATCTCTACCTCTCGCAAATCTCTCGTCACTTTTTCACTCTTGCAAACCGATCACCATCTCTCCCTCTCGCCCTCGCTAAAATAATCTCGCCATCACCCTCTTCCCTTGAACCCGCGACCCCACGCCGCCGCGCCCTCCTCCGCTTGCAAGTTTCTCCCCGCCGGCGAGCCCTATCCGCGAGGAACCGTCTTCCGCAGCAGCAATACTTCCGACGAGCGCCCCGTCTGCAACTTCCGGCGATCTTCCCTCCACGCGGAGCTTTTCCCGGTGACCCCTCGGTTTGCGATTTTCGGCTAGCCTGTTCCTCCCACGAGCAAACCGTCGAACTTCCGACGGCGAGACCTCCTCTGTTTGGGACTCTCGCCGCAGTCCAGCCACTTCGGTAAGCCGTCGCGAGTTTCCGTTCGAACAACCTCCTCTCGCAACGATTCCGGCGTTCCTCCGTTAGAGCAGCGAATCCGGTGACCATCCCTGATCGAGGAGCAACCTCCGGCCGTGACCAGCAGCAACAACCTCACCTCCCTCACATCGTCGAGCCCTTCTCTTCGGCGAGTCGCGTGTAACCGTCGAGCCCGACATTCCGTCAACTCGTTCGAACCCCTTCTCACTTGTTTTTCCGAGAACGGTATCAAGTCTCGACTTCTCGTTTAATGTTACGTGAATAATGTTGTGATCGGTTGTGCTTTACGTGCTCATTGAATTAATATATATGTGTTTGAAATTGTTCGTTGTATATATATATTGTCGAGATTTTACGTGAAATTCGTCGATTCGTACGAATTGAACGAGGACTGGATATAAGTGATTAGTTGCTGTGGATTTAGGGACTTAGGATTATTGCGAACACAATGGCGTTGTCCTTGTGTCGATTGGGCGTGTATATTTGTAGTTATGATTTTTCGAAGATTGAAATTGATGTTTTAAATGTAAAATTCACAATAAATTGAATACTAGCCCGATTGCCTTGAAATTTTAGGAACATCTGTCTTTGATGAACATATAGCTCGTGTAAATTTTCGTGATTTTTGAAGGTCTGGAGCTATTTTTAAAAATTAATTTGATTTCTGTTAGTTTCTTGTAAAATGTATAAATAATTTTGTGGGGCTCCATTTTGGCTGAATTTCGAGTATGACATGTCTCTGGTATATTTATGTGTTATGTAAAATTATTAGAATTTTTGAACTAGGTTTGATAGGGTTAATAATTTAATTTGTGATTCCGTCCGAATTTGTTTTAATTCTATTAAATTGTTCTGAAGCTGAAAAAATCTGAATATTTGTGGAGGTGCTGAATATGTGATCTTTAGCATGCTGTAAAAAGTTTAGAATTTTTAGAGTTCAGTTGTGTTCAGTTTTGATATAAAATTGATAATTGGCTGAATGTTGTTTTAATTTTATAAATTCATATACTGAGTGTTAAAGGCTGGTATTTTTATGTGTTGTTGTTCATATGCTGTAGTATTTTAGATAAAAATTTCATAGCCTGAATCGTCCACTATCATGTGTCTTTAATTTAAACTAGCTTTTGTTGAAAAATTTGTTTGAATTTTATAAAATTATGTACAATGAGTTTGGGGCTGAAACTTGGTTATTTTTCTTAGAACTGGGAGGTTAATTTTATGTAAAATTTTCAGAACCTGACTCGTTGGTTTGATAGACCTTCTAATTCAAGTGTGAATTTTGGAAATTGTTTTCTATATTAAAATTTGTTAAGTGTTGTTGACCAAATGTGCCATGTGTTTACTTGTGGCCCGTTTTGTTTGTCTTTCACTTGCATTTATGTGAGCTTGAATATGTGGTTTGATCGAGTCTAAGTCCTAGTGTTCCCATATCCACAGAACTTCACGAACCACTTGGTCAAATCGAGTTCGGCTAAGTCAATTTGTGAATTTTCTACTTAGGTCTAGATTAAAGTGTTGACTTTAGTATCTGGACTTAATGTAGGTGTCTAGAGGTGTTAACCTCGCCTCATTTCGAGATTTTTGACTTTGAACTGTTGCTGCAATCAGGTGGGTACATTTATGATGTATTCCATATTTATCGCACTTAATATTTCGTATAAATGCTTTGTTTGAAAAACGATGTATGCGTGAGAACCCTAGTCTAAGCATCCCGTATGTTAGTGCCTTTGAGGAATGCATAAACAGTGAGAGGTCATCGGCCCGTAGATTCGGAGAGGTGACGCCCCGGTCCGTATGATATTCGTGAAGGGGAAAAACATCTCTACTGTCTCTTGGAAAGGATCTCAGGCCCGTAGCCATTCGGTGATGGGAAGGTTTCCAGTTACTTCCTTGCCGTGTCTGATCGGAAGGTTGTTGTATGTACATAGGAGGATTGCAATAGGGCCAAGTAGGGAGTTAGACTGTTAGATTCTGTGCATACTGAAAACTATGGTTATGATGGATAAACTGTGCGATAATGGTGAGCTTGTTGGTTATGCTCACCCCCATTATTTTTCCTTGTTGTGTCTTCTCTTCCTTTGCTTTAGGTTGAGACGAGCTGGAGGTGGTGGCGTAAAGACGAGCGAGATGGTGGTCATTTACTGGATGCGTCTTTTGCTTCCGCTTGATTTTATTTATGTTAAACTACTTGCTTTTGTTTGGATTGTTAATGCTTCCATCAGTTTGGATTATTTATTTCTTCGCTTTCGAACTTCGTTGGGTTT